TTTAAATATTTATCACTGTCTTTTTCAATTCAAACGGCGATAAACGAATTAGAACATTTAGAGGTTTATACTCGGTAAACGCATTTCCAACCAAATTCCCCCTTACTGAACAGCATAAAACTAATAATAAATTTCCTAAATTCACCTTAAATTATAACCATGCCAATGCTCACGATGCCGTGAAAATTGTCATGACCTAGTAGCACGATTGGTACGGAGAATGTCCCTAGTGTTCTAGGAAATGGTGATTCAGAGAAAATCCATCAAACTGACTGAATAATCACATCAGAAAATTAAAAATTAGTTAATTGATCACTACTGTGAAATAACGTGTTCATATATTGATTTTTTGTTCTCCAAATGCAAGAAGCAATTGAGTGATCATGCATGCCAAGCATGAGTGATTTTGCGACAACCACACACTGAAGCAAGTGTGTTACAAGTGTATACATTTTCACAATTTTGTATCAAAAAAATAATTTAACATTTGATTTTGATTTGTTATTATTTCCCTATTTTCGGTATCTTTTATTATTGGAACTAAAGACAACATGCATATATAGAATGCATGCACAAGACTATTTAGGCGACAATGCTTGTAGAAAAAGGTAAATACTAAAACACACTGGTAAAAGTAAGAGACAAAGAACTCTAAAATAAGAAGAAAATTAGGCCAAAGTAATTAAACTAAAAGCCAACATAAGCAAAAGGATTTAAGTACCATTTATTTAGAAAATAATAATGTAAAATGGCCAAGCACACCCTGTTGTTTTCACCAGACAACTTGGTGATATTTTCAAACCAAATGAAAACGTCAATAGCAGCCTACTTGAAACAGCAACAACTTCATTAAAAAAATATAAAGTTTGTTACACCCAAAGAAACGGGTCAAGAAATATATAAAAAAATAAAAAGATTGCTGATTTTTTTCTCCTAGTTGCAAGAATCTACATCTACGTAGACTCTAGCAAAAAATAAACCGGGTTTTGCAGTCTCCTCTTCTTCCTGGAAGTGTCTGCAGTGTTTGTTCTGTCTGTTCTTCTATCCAGTATAAGTGCCTTCTAAGGTTGCAGTGCCCTGTCAGGAGTCCAACCAGAATCCTGGTTCTGCTGCAATTACCTTTCAGTAATTCCTTTGTAAATCTTGCAGATGGCTCTTGTATAATGCTCTTTGTGTGCCTCATGCCTGGGAGTGTTTTTCCACCATTAAGAATACTTGTGGCAAAGTGCTAGGCCTCGTAGGGTTCAGGGCCTAGAGAAAACTTGCATTCTGATGGGCAGATGCAGTCTCATGCATGTCTCAAAGCAACAAACCCAGTTTATGAGCAAAACCATCCTTTTACTAGTATATAGTAATATATTCACTCCAAAATAAGCAGTTTTTTTATCCCTAATTGTGGAGAAAGAGCTAGATACTGATGTGCTTCTTAGTAGTTCTTCCTAATGGTTCAATCTAAGAGGTAGTCCAGGAAAAAAATAGCAACACATTAACTATGGAGCATTCAGACATGCAATATGTCATCTGTATTTCAAAGGCTTCCTTCTAATTCAGGCCCAGACAGTCAAATTTGAAACATAGAAGTCTTTTACAATACAATCATCACATTTTATTTCATATCTTAATTTTTAAATTGATCAAGAAGTGTCATCAATACGTCACAGGATTCATCATTTGTGCCAAAGTTAGCTGGTAATCCAAAGAGAAGCAAAAGGCAAATGTTTTACTTTAGCAATAGTGAATCCGGCAATTTCTAATCTTCATAAACTTCCATCTATAGTGCCAATCTCTACTATGCATTTGTTGGAAGAATTCTTTTACTTGTACTTTACTGGATTATACACTGTAAACATACTGGTTAGAGGTTCTTATTCCTTTTTGTTGAGCGGGATTTCCTCTTTCTGCCATCGGGTTGTTTTTGCGAGTAGTCTTTTTTGCTTGCCTCATGCCTGGTTTTCGCTACCGGTATTTCTTGTTTTCTTTAGTTAACCAAGATTCCAGTTCTTTTGAAGGTGGATATAGTTTATACCATGTGACATAAACTACCACCATGATTTGGGCCTATCAGTTTTTACTCCTTTTTAGCAAGTATATGTGAAATTCCTTCATTAATTGGGACTTATTTTATCTTTAGGCCATTTTTAGGAGCGTTTAAGCAATTCTAGACATGTTTTGAATTGAATCATTCTACACTGAATTGTGAGGATGTTAAAAGTTAGTCTCAGACTGTTTATAACATATCAAGAAAAGACTTATATTTCCATTCAATTAATATACAATATTTTATTCACATTTTGGAAAAATACAGGTAGAAGTGTTAAAATGACAACTGTAAAACAGTTGAAAAGAAATCACAATTTCATCATTTTATCATAATGGCATCAATCCCAAGGTCTGATCTACCCATCACTATGAGCTCAATAATGTTCATTAACCTGTACAACAGTTATTTATATTATAAATTGTATATTGTTCACACATTTACATTATTTTACATCTGCAGTTTTTGAGGAGGGTATAAGTCCATTTTTTTAAACATACTTTTTTTCTTAAATAAATCACTATATGAACAAGCTGTTATATGCTGAAAAAGTATAATTAAAAATCATGCTTACTTTTATTATATCCACCTAGATATTAGTTGATCACAAAATTTCTTAATTTGCATTAAAGCACATTTCTTGTAGTAATCTAAGAAGAAAAGTCTCTTTATCTCAACAATATGATAGCTTCAAACCGATTTTGTTCAAAAAACAAAAAAGGCTTACCACACGGTAAATAAGAACAGTTCTTACATGATTATACCATACTACAGGATTCATAATCTGTTATCTTCATCATGCTAGGCCACTCTAAAAATATAAAATAATGTCCATCATTTTACTACTGTTTGGTGATAAAAAATAAGGCATTATTTTGTAGCTTACTATTTTCATCATGTCAAACAGTGCAGAAACAATTTTGATTACAAAATTGGCAATTATAAAATGGGCATCACAATTATATAAAAGCACTTCAAGGGATTTTTTTCCTTAATTTTGTTTTATTTATTAAAAGGGTGTCTAACTAGAGAAATTAAATGTTAAATGTCAGTCATATATACCTTCTTTTCCTATCAAATCAGTGTGGCAATAAAGCAACAATTTAACACTTTTGCAGTACAGCATTTCAAAAAATTAATAATAATAATTTAAAAAATTAAAAAACCATTCCTTTCAGTAAGGAAGGTATCTTTATTTAAGCACAGGAAAAAAAAAATTATTAATGTACATTAAGGACATGACAGCACTTGGTAAACTTATAAGGACATTGTACTTCACATTTCCTCCTCGTTTTTCCCCTAGAAAATGCAATCCTGTTTAATGAATAGAAAAAAGTAAAATTATTCAAGGATAAAAATATTATTTGGTCATTTTTTTTGCACAGTTGATCTTTGCAATATGTTTAAATGTGAACTTTATTGTAGCCAGCAATAGTACGATTTAGTTCAGACCAAGAATGATTTTTAAAAATTAAAAGAATTTTCAACTGTGCTTTTAATTATTCCGACCATTATGATTAATATTAACTATCAGTTGCGACAAAACGAAATGACATTAATGACATTAGGCAGGTCGATCAACAAACATCATATCTTCAGAAATGACATTATTTAAAAAATTTAGTTTCCTTTGGATACATATAAATGTGACTAAATTCAAACCGTAAATAAAAATATAATCCCTTAGGCAGGGGGGGGAATATCACAAAAAGAAATACATATATACATTTTGCTTTGATTATTCACAAGATAAACCATTTATAAGAGGAAATGGTTTTAAAGGTTGTTAAAAGCTGGAAAGATTGTTTTTACTAATAATTTTCATCGCTACATATTATAAACTAGGTTAACGAAACTAACGTAGCTGTGTCTAGACTGCACAAAAGGCAGTGTGTTATTTTATTCATTACGATACTTACAATACACGTCCGATTAGGAATTTTTTTCAAAAAACAGATTTAAGACCACAGCTTAAAATGAAAAAAAAAAAAAAATGGGGAATGAATCATCGACTAAAAACACACAAGATGTTCATTATATATTTAAAAATTGATTGTAAATACTGGAATTATGAAAAGCCAATTTTTTCAATTATGATAAATTCATGTATGTGTCTTTGGGTTTGATTTTTTTTTTTTTTCAAAAAGTTTTATTTCTTCAACAATTTTATTAGTTGGAATGTCGAAGCTTAAATGGATAAGGTTATTGAAACATTATTGCCACACTTTTTCTATAATCGATGAGTTTTTAAATTATTGATAGTTCATTAAACCAGCTGTATTTGTTAGTATGTAATCGATTTTGAGTTATATTGTGAATATATATATATTTTTTTTTTTTAAGTAACAAAAATCGGCCCTTAACAGTACACTAAAACATAGGCCACAACATTTCATCGGAGGTTGTATGTCAACCTTGCTTTCGGTTTACTTTCTCCTTGTCTTCGATTAATTATTTTACATATTTTAACAACTTTATACAAAACAATATTTTGTCTAATGATAATATATCTACAGTTCTTGTTTGGAGACTGACAATAGGTTTAATTTCCATTCGTCGTTCCTTTTTTTTTTTTTTTACTTTTTTTTAAACTCACTTAGGAACTTACGAATGTGCACTCAAGAGCTCCCGCAGCTTAATAATAAATAACATCAATTTTTTTCATTTGGTCTTTGCTTTTAAAATCACACATTCCACATATTTAAATCTAGGATTTACCATGTGCCATTTAATTAATCTCAGTCAACTGATGATGTAATAAAAAAACAAACAAAAAATCCTTTTATCTCTCATTTGGAACAACTATATAAACCCTGTATTACAAATATAATGAAAATGTATGTTTTAAAGTAATACTCACACTCACACTCTCTCACACACACACACACCCACACACACATATATTTGTAAAAGATTAAAAATGTACAATATAAACATCTAAAAAAAAAAACTGAAAAAAAAATCACTGAAACAGCTAGTTTAAATTGGATATAAAATAAATTAATGATACAAAATGTCTTAACTTAATTTCTTTTAACTAATACTAAAAATGACTCAAAATGCATAATTATATTTATTTAAATTGATTTAACGTTTTGGGAGATGCGTACACCTCTCAAAATTTCAACCACATCAAAATTCATTAGCACTGCTTCAAGTAAAAATTGTACATATAATTATATATTGACTTGGTTATGTAAACAAATATTAAATTCGAAAAAAGTAAATAAAGAATTTGAACGTGACAGGTGTCAATTTTAAAATGCAAGGTCCCTTAACTTTTTACTACTAAGCAAAGTAAAATACTTTATTTTTTTAATGTTTTTAATTGAAAGATTTTAGTTTAAAAAGGTTGAGCTAAAGAAGATGAAGAATAATGGACATTTAGACTCAATTTTGAATCTCATTTCATCTGAAAACTTTGGTACAATAATAAGTTAATTATCATTGGAAGAAAAAAATTAAATAAATAATAACAGCCAGACGACAATAGAAAAAAAAATAAATGTAATGTGACGGATTGTTCATTCTAAAACTGGTTTTGGTTAAACCGAATCTCCCATACAGTCTGAGGGCACGTTGTCGCTCATGTGATAGCAGGGTTGAGAACACTGTCCCTCGAGTTGGACTGAGAGGTCGCCTGGAGCAATGTTACCGCTTCTCTTTCTGGACTACATTGTACAACTGCTAGTCACTTCCCACGGCCGCTTTTTTTCTTCTTACGTTTAAAAAAACAACAGCACCTGGATAGAAATAAGAAAGAACGCCTGATCAATAAATATGGAAATAAAATTTGTAATTAAAATGAACCGCACAAGCTTCTCTGAGTTTTAAAAGTCCTGATTGTGCAGTACAATAGTGAAATAAGTTTAGTAGATGATGATGGGTGAGTTTCTCACTTAAGATGGCGTAATGCCGAAACGCATTTGTATAACTCAAACAAAAAACCACAAGAGAAAACAGACCCAATAAATGGCCATGTGCCAGTTCAACATGAGTGAAAAAAGTTTATCTTAATGGTATACAGGGGGTGTTATTTATTTTTATTTTTTTTAATTTAATTTAATTTAAAAAAAATACCATTGATTAATCTTTATGTAAGGAAGGTATAGGCTGAGATTGACTCAAGGAAAGTTCAAAGGAGGGAAAATTCAAAAGGTGGGTAGAGATGGGAAGCTGGTGTCCAAGTGGATCGAAGTCATGATAGCTCAAGTGATAGAACAGGCGACGTATTTAGCCAAAGGTCGTGGGTTCGAATCCCGCTCCTGACACTGACTTTTTTATCTCAACCAATACCTTACTTAAAGATTAATTAATTGAAAGAGGTTATTTGGTCAATTGGGCCACCAAATCTAATGTAATTACTATTGATTTCAATCCTTCACGATACTGAATCATTTTTGTAAACAATGTGCCTGAGTTTTATTATCAATAGTTGTTTATTATTTTTATTTAGTAAAAATGATGTAGTAATACCATATTCCATTATTGTAACATTTATATGAGTCATCAAAACCATTCAAGTCTACAGATTTGAAAAATGTTGAAATGCATTTTGAACTGTCATCCTGACCATGGTTTGTGTGTGCATAAATACAGATTGAGTATTAAATTAAAAAACTGGGTTGTTCAGCATTTTTCAGTCAAATTAATAATTTTTTCAACCATTTTAATAATTGTCTCATTCAATTTAATAATCACCTCAACTAATTTAATGATCGCCCCTTTGGGATTTTATAGTCGGGGAGGAACTAAATCCGAGCTAGAAGTTGCAAAAACCTTTATTTAAATTTTAAAAAAGTAAAAGTATTTCTTCAAAAAATATAAATATTTGAAAAATGATAACCGATAACAGCTAAATCTTTTGCTATTTTTTACAAGAGCTGTGAACAAAACTTGATGGCTGTCATTACACGTGTTTCTAGTCATGGACAATGCCAGGATCCATAAAACCGCTTAAGTAAAAAGAGGTTGTGGAATCATTTTCTTATACAATTACTTTCTTGCCACCCTAATTGCCTATTCTTATCCCTAGTATGCATTTTCCAAGATTAAAACAGCTGCGAGGAACTAACAACTTGTGAACACAACAAGTGAAATAATAGTGTCAATTCAAATTTTGGGCACCGACGACTGCACCAATTAGGCAATGGTAATGAAGCTGGTTTGAAGCTGCCAAGCCAGTGTCGCAGGACTGCCACTCCATTAATTGATGTTCAAATTATCATTTTTTTAACATTTTTACTTTTTGATGAAATATCTTCACATTTTTATTAATTTTAAAGGTTTTCGCAGCTCCCCTGACTCTCGCAAAGGGATGATTATTAAATTAGTTGAGATTATTAAATTGAATGAGATGACTACTACATTGGTTGAAAAAATTATTTATACGACAGAAAAATGCTATATGTGTTTTCCCCCCTAATTTAAATGTTGATGATCATACCACCTTTTAATTACATCAGAAAAAGCTTTGAGAAAGAACGTTTTTGTGAAAAAATTTTTGCTTGAATTATAACTAGGCACTTACTTTGTTTCATCCACTAATTCCACTTCGGGCTGAAACGTGATGGGTGTGTTTGAATGGCCTGCTGTCGGATCATCATTGGCCAATTCTCCATTTGTCGAACTCATAACCTGGCAGGAAGATAAATTCAAATTGAAACCAAAATTATTTTATGCTGGTTAATATTTTTGCTAAAGTGGCATGATGTGATTATTCATACTTTGAAATTCTGTTTTTGTCTGGAATATTAAATTAAATTAATGAACGTATATATATATGTATGAAAATTAAAATAAAATAATATGGATTGCTCTTGTAAAAACTTTTATTTCCCCTTTGAAATGAACAACTAAAAGCTAGATCAATGTAAAATTTAAATCAAAAGAAAAACAATACACCTACCAACCATTAGTTTTTTTTTTTAAAACAAATTATTAATAAGAACATAAGACAAACATTTATAGTAAACAATGCCAGTTAGACAGCAAATTAGTCACTCTTTTTAATACTCCAAAAAATTTAAAAAACAAAATTAAAATTAAAGCAAAAGAAATAAGGCTAATAATTTGATAATTTACCTGAACAGAACCATGTCTGTCTGCTGGCGAAAGATGAGTCCGATTGGTGAAAGGGTTAACTTCCGGCCATTCTTGACCTCCACCCTGTTGTGTCAAAACACTTTCTATTAAGGCTGCCTTCTTTCAGTATTTTTTTGACTGTTATACTAATTATTTTTGTTTTTAATGGACCTCCAGAGAATCTTCATATAAGGTATGACATGCAATGTTTATGGAAAGAACACACAGGTGATACAAACCGTTTTTAAACATCGAGCTTTCCCATACCTCTCTCTTTCTTTTTCAAAAAGTAGACTGGTGGCCAAACTTTTTTTTTTTTTAGAGGAGAACTGGAGTCTTTTCATTTACTATTGGATTATTTAAGGATTTTTTTGTCTGAACTTTTGCATAAAATAAAACAAAGAAGAAGAAAACTAAATACATAGGCAACTAGTTCACCGCCTAAAACTGATTGATATGTTCGCGTTATTCAAGTAAAGTAATAAAATTGATATAACTGTTTGCTCATGTAATCTTAACTGGTTTTAATGAGGCCTATTGAAATATGTCAAAATTACCTTATAAACCTAGCCCGTAGCCGCAATATGAACTTTTAATAATGAATGACGGAAAATAAAATTGTATTATATTTTTCCCTTTATAAAGTTAACTAAATATTTCAGGACAAATAGAATGCACAAAGTTGACAATGCACACATGTTCTCCTCTAAAAACATCCCTTATTCAATGAAAATAAACTTACCAGCCAGATGATCCCATGACCTTCCAATGTCAATTCTTAATCAAGTTAATTTCGTGCAAACAAAAATAAAATAGAAATGAAAATATTTTTTAAAAAAATTTTTTAAATAATAAAAACGGCCTAACAAGGAAATACATCACACAACGAGCAATTCAAACTACCATGGGAGGCGGTGTATTGTTATTTTCATAAAAATAATAAAAGAAAAAATGCAGATTGAAATGTCCACTATCATAAAAAAATAAAAAATAAAACGGTTGGGAGATAGAAGTGCTGGACATACACTGAACCATAAAAAAAGGGTACATAATAAATACTCAAAATTAAAGGACAGTCTAAACAATTTCAACAAATTTGTCTTTAATCAAATTATTTTTCTAGTGAACACATTCAATTATAAAGTAAGGGTATAAAAAAGTAAGTGAAAACAAGGTATGAACACAATCAATTGAAAGAGCACAGCTGAAAAATTAACCAAAATTAAGTTCTTATTTTTTTCTTTCGTTTTTTTACATAAGGCACTTATTTGATAATGGTTGTCACATCATATACCTACACTAAAATAATTAATAAAAAATTATAATAAAATAATCTCAAGTGTAACTATGGGGAGATACTCAAAGATTTGGCATAAGCGAATGACTTCAACTTGGTTATCAAAAGTTATACCCCAAATTGGCAATTGAAAATGAGTATAAAAAAATGAAATTAAAAAAATATAAATATATGAAACGACAAAAGAAAAACTATTTGCAAAAATTTCAAACATAATAATTATTGAAATTGCCATTCATTTTTAAACAATATTTTATAAAAATGTTGCTAGGTATTGAAATAATGGCTTCACTTTGTTAAAGTGTTTACCCTACTTTGTAAATAATTTAGTAAAACGAGGAATAAAGGAAGAATAAACGTTCTGTTGGTTGAATTAGAGTATTTTTGGAAAAGTTTAACATGTTGATTGTAAAGTATTCACAAAAACTCTATCACTCTATCATTGTGTACAAAATCACGCGAGTATCTGTAAACAAATCACCTATTTTGTTTATAGAGTCCCCAACAAAGCCAAGATGACCTAGATAATAAATTTTGAACCGGAGAAAATGAGTGCTCTCAGTTTGTTGTGAGGTTCATAGGTTCAATTCTGCACATTTGTGTATGTATGTACATATATGTACAGGATTAGGAGTATGTAAATCTATCAATCAATCTTGCTTACAGCCCTAACTCAGTGGACTTGTAACAAAGTATGTACAGCCTACATGACATATTAATTTGATTAAATGTATTAAAATATATCAGTTAAATTGAGACAAAGTTTGATAATTAATAGTGAACCAAGAGATTACATTCATCTTATAAATGGAAAAAAATGTTTAAATAATTTCTTAATCTTTCTACTACAATTCAATTTTTTAAAACAATTATCCTTAAATAACATGAATTTAAATCCATCACAAAAATTGCTTTGAATGTACGACTTCACAATCAACATGTTAACAAAGTCAGACCAAAACATTCTAAAAAGACACAAGTCAGCATTTAAGTGAAGACAATGCTTATGCCAATTTTGTTATATACAAAGACCTTTATAACAGGCTAATTTATTACGCATCTAATTAAAAATCTCAATTTCCAACTGAATTGAACACAACCTGAGCCATTGGAATCTTAAAATTATATACAAATTCCATACGCTTAGGGTTCTACGAGTGACAGCCAAGCTGCGACAAGGCAAAATTGTCAACATTTCTAATTCAAAATTACGCCTGACCTCTGACATCAACAATGTGTCATCTTTCAGAAAAAATATGTCATCATCATCTTCAAATTCGTCGCTCTAGCATAGAAAACATAAGAACCCTATGTTAAAAATTTAATTTGGTACTCATTATTTTTATATATGACATTTATACTAGCTAGCTGATTTAACAAATTAACATAATTAATCATCAATTGACTTAACGCAAAAAATCATACCTTAGTAAGTCCTGGGCCACGGATCCGTCCACCACCACTAGCTGCTACAATTTCATGTCCAGTTTGGACTGATGGAACTGGCGTAGACTAAAAAAGAAATTTAAAAAATCCAGTTGAAGAAATTAAACCCTACTGAACATAACTCATACAAAATCTCAACAGAAGAATGACCAGATCATATTTAAGCGTTTAAAAAACATCGATCAGATATGATGATTTTTAAAAAGTATACAATTCAGTGGTTGGAGTGCAAAACTGAATCTCATTTAAGCATGCATTAGGTGAACTCATAGCCTCTTATATGCAATGTTGATAGTACAAAGTGCAGTGACATATAAAGCCTTGTGTACATGCAAATAAATGTCTTATAACATAATTTTATTTATTTTATTTTATTTTATTTTTTATTCAAAAAAGGCTACTAAATTTAATCAATTACGTGCTAAAGCAATAACTTCCCAACCTATATGCCCACCAGATTTAAAAATATTAATATCAAACATTGTAAAAGAAGAATTGAGAAACCGCTGAGCTTGAGGAAATAGCAACAGCTCTGCCGAACTGTGACAGGTTAGAAAGATACAGGTCACTGGTTGGCAGAGAATGTGTTGAAAAGTTAAAAGGCCATAATGACAAGACTACACATAGGTCATACAAGAATAACATAGGAACACCTCCTGGCCAGAAACTGACTACATTCCCATTATGCAAGGATAAAATTATGCTTGAGTATATTTTCAACTGTTGAAGGCTGGACACAAGACATATTTTGGTATATCATCAGTCCTCATACATCACAGTTCCGGTACCTCAAGGCTACGGTAATTTTATATGTAGTATGTTTTTTAAGTTATTAAAATGAATCTGATTTATTAGCATGAAAGAAAGGAGTTTAACCCAGCCGCGAGGAATATTGAGTACATTAGATCTTCAGATGTTTTATTATTACAACACAATTTCAGCACAATTTTCATTTAACATTGTTGTTTCATTACAGCATCAATGAATCGCTCCTATGGACCTGTCTGATAGTGGAATGTGTTTCTTGTTAACGTGGTTCTCGTAAATCCCTTCTGATTTTCTTTTCATTTTTAATAATTTTAGTGCACAAAGTTGGTTCTGTATTTTTTTTTTCTTCAGATCCTCACTTAACACTGTTTCATTCAACATCACTGTTTCCCAGTAGCGTTAATCAAGTACTTATTGTACTTTGGGGTGATGTCTTAGAAGTAAAAGTGGTCCAGATTTCTATGTAAAGAATTAGGTGGTGATGAGATATTGGTGCTGTAGAAATATCAAGTACTACCGCCACCAGGTGTGTGACTGTTTTCTGCCATGGTACTTTTGCTGGGGCAGGACCGTTTCATTCAGGGCGAGATGACATGGTTTGTTGGTCTCTGGATAAGTACCTACACTCTAACAACGCGAACGGCAACCACTAAGTAAGTCGTCCCAATGTTCTTTACAGTGCTGTGGAATGGCTTATGGGTGCCAACTTGTGCTGTTGTACGCGCACAACTTTCTGTAAATATGTTTACGTTTAAGTGGAGAGCACACTTACCCGAAGCCTTGCCTCATGTTTTGGTAGTGTGCACATCTGTTTGATGTCAAGCGTACACCACGGACAGTCATACAGGATGTATCACAATTGCACTGTCTCTTTTGTTCTTAATGCGTTATTATGAGCAAAACCTTGTAATAAATTGTTAGTTATTCATTCTACCAATAAATTTTGTACCAAACCATCATAATTAATTTTTATAAAAACTCATGAATGTGATCTCATTTAATTTGGTTTACATTGAAATAAGCATGATGTAATTAATATAATGACAAAAATATATATATACAGTTTGAAATAAACTACAAAAAATATAAGTGTCCAGTTCTTCTGTCTTCGACTAAACTCGACGCTACTCAACAAAAATCTGGGCAGTGGGGAACTTGGGTGCATTGCGTAGCATAGAGTAGCATGGCATCGGGCAGATGTGCATGGGAGTAATACAATCTTAGAGAAAATTGGACATTGGATTTGCATCAGATGGCTTCAGATCATCGTGTTGCGTCGGGTGTTCCCCGCTTTAGTTTTATAGGTTGCAACCTGAGGCACAAACTAGAGGCCAGCTTTTTAAGAAATCTGTTTACTATATGTACATATAAAAGTAGAGAGACAGTAACCAGGAATGCGAAGCTTAAATGGCTGAATATTAAAAATACACTAATAAATAAAAATAAAGAATGAGTATCCACATAATACATACATGCTAAATATGCTTGCTTAACCAATTGTATTACTTCTAAACATACAAAAGGATAACAACTAGCTCAGATTCCCCAAAAATAAATGAATTTCTAAATTAAAAAATTGTAATTTCTTTTGTTGAATTTTTATTCACAGGAGACAGATACTTTTAAGTTCATACTTAATTATTTTCCCGTGACAGCTATTGCTTCTATAGTTGTTATTTTGCCTATTTTGTCATTAATTTTAAATGAACTTTTCCAATATTTTTTTCAAAGCTAGTTGAATAAAATAGGCAATACCTCTTTGCGTAAAGCATCTTTGCTTACCTAGTGTTAGTTTTAAAAAATGTACGAATATAAACAACATCTTTATATCATCCATTAAACTTTTCATACAACATTGAAATGAAGAAAGAAATAAGCATACATACAAATCTCTCCATAAACAATACTAAAATGGTGCTTTTTTTTTTTGATAATTGTGCTAGAAATTGATGAGCTCACAGTCATACCTTATCCGAGCTTGTCTTTCCAATGTGAGATGGAGGTGCTTTCTTCAATATGTTCATTATTTCAAAGTTAGCCGGCTAAATCATGCAGCATGCAACATTGTTCAGAACAAAAAAATCATGCATAATGTACGAAAGAATTTTTTAAATTTCTGTATCGGATATTAAATTTGCTGAAAAAATTGTTCAACACAATAAATTACGATAACTGAATATCAAATTAACAAAAACTTCTTGGCTTTTTAAAAAATATTTTTATTGTCTTTTCGCGGAGATTCGTAGAATCTAAAGTGCTCAAGAGAAATATTGCCAATTACTTGAAGATTTCAGCTTCAAAGACCTAAAATAATTATCGTTTAATGGGTATTGAAAGAGAATGCATATTAACCATAGGCAAACACAACAAAACGAAAGGTGCCAAGTCATAGCTGGCATGCAAAATATTATCGGACATAAACAAAATGCTCACCATTGTCTTGTCAGTCCAATCGAACTCCGAATCATCAACGAAGCCACGTTTTTCGAAGAGATCGGTGAATAATTTTCTTAGGTACTCATAATCAGGAGTCTCAAAAAAATCTAACCTCCTAACGTATCGAAGATAGGTGGCAAGTTCCTCTAAAAAATTAAATTATTAATTGCAATACAGAAAAAAAATCATCTTGTACTAGATACAATATAATAAACTTTATACAATTATTAAAAATTAATTACCAGGATGGCCTTCACATAAGACTTCGATTGGTGTGGCCCTTTTAGTGTCCCCTATTTTTTGATACCGTTCTTTAAGAGTATCTGCTTTAAGGCCTTGCCATGGCAAAGAGCCCCTCAGAAAGTACATAAACATATGACCAAGTGCTTCCAGATCATCCCGTCGGCTTTGTTCTACAAGCACAAACAAAAAGTTTAGTTGACAATCATATCCTAGATGATAAACAGTTTAATCTTACCTTTTCCTAAATGTGTATTAATACTCATATACCTTGCCGTACCCGTTAAGCTCTTGTGTTCCCGGTAAGGTATATGTTTGTTTGTTTCTAAATCTATATATTCCTTAGCTAAACCGAAATCTGGGGAAAAAAATTAAGTTTTGACTGAAGGAATAAGAACTATATTGACAAAAAAAATTGAATAAAAATTGTCTTACCTATTATATGTATAATTTTATCTTTTTTATTTGCACTCCTACCAATTAGAAAATTCTCTGGTTTTACATCCCTATAAATAAGATGTCGACCATGTACGTACTCTATCCTATGGAGCTGTAAGAGAATGAAAATAAAATTGGCTGCATAGAAGTATAATTTTTTTAAAAATTGTGTAAAATATATCTAAAAACTAGACAAATTATTATACAAATGGCCCTTCTCTCTTACTAGTTGGGTAGCAATCTTGAGGACAGTCTTGAGAGAAAATCTCCTTCCGCAAGCATCAAACAAGTCTTCTAGTGAGGGGCCGAGAAGTTCCATGACGAGGGCATTGTACTTCCCACAGGGGCCGAAGTAATAAATTTCAGGGATCCCTTCTGCAATGTTCAAAGGATAGGGAGATTGTGGGAGTAGGGCAAAGGGTAAAAAATCAAAGGGAAGGAGGGAGCGGAAAAAACAGACTATATCAGTAAATTGTGACAAAACATTTTTCAAAAGGGCCATTTCTGTTCGCAGTTACCACATTGGGGTTTTTATTCCAAAAAGTTTTTTTTTTTTTTTTTTTTTTTTTTTTTTTTTTTTTTTTTTTTTTTTTTTTTTTAAACCTGTAGAACATAACGTCTGTATTTTGTCTTTTTACATTTAATTTCTGCGCATTATTATTTGGAGTTAATTCCAAAAGGAGAATGCAATTTTTCTAAAGAACATGCATGGACAAAGAGAAAATGACACAATTCGCTTGTAGAACACCTGTCAATTGTATTGTTTACAGTCTGAATCAAATTCCTACATAAAATGAAATTCTTTATTAACAATAATGATCCTAAAACAGCTCAAAGACTATTTTTTATAAGAATGGCCAGGACAATTTGATCTCTCATGTCTTCTTTCTTTATAATTGTTATTTATTTTTAGTGTGATCTGAATAATGATTGGAAATACTAGCCAGACACACTAAACATGGCAAAATACATAAATACATACATAAACACGTCTAACATACCAGCCCGGCAAGTATAAGCAGACAAAATTACAGGATTTGCAATACTTAAGTTGGTTGTGTTCAGTTTTCAAATATTTATTCTAAAAATTTGACAGTAGAACCACATTCCAATTACTTGTTGTTTGACTGCTACATTCTAAATGTTTTACACCCAGTAAAACATTGGGGAAAAGCCATTACATATATCAATATGAATGTCAAGCTGACTTCAATTTTATTATTTATGGTCAGCCAATACTGTTGTTGAATGTCAATTTTCATTGGTGAATGCATCTGGGGTTGGACCTGAGATTCTCAAGTCTCTGGTACTCCCTGGCATCGTTGGATTCACAATCGTCGATGGGAAATAAATGTTTGATGTAAACATCATATCAATTTTTTTTCATTATAGAAACTTTTTATGATTTAACAAATCCTGATATTTTATGTCTTGTATTGGTCAATTATTACATCAGTTTTACTTTGAAGATCCTTAAGGTTGATTTTGGATACTTTAACTGATCTGAAAACTAAATGGAAACACTTTCACAGCCAAGTTGTTAACGCCTGTAAATTTTGGCAGGTAAAGTCTACCTACTTATTTTTATTCATTATTAGATTATATTAGGAACAAGCCAGCATGAAAGCAAGAACTAAATCAAATCTGATCGTTTTTGACCTGTAAGTACCTTTGCTTGAATGTCACGTAACAAATAGAAAGACAAGTTTATTCCACACAACTAAAATTAATTCTTCATACTAAAATATTCTTTTTACAATTGTTTCTCTCCCTGATGGTCAGGCAACAATGACCAATGTTACAGTGCAAAATTATCATCATCATTGTTATAATATTCATACTTCATATAGGGAGGGAGGAAAGACGTAGCAAATATACGACCATAGAATTTTGTTTAATAAGTAAAATTGTACAAAATAATGTAATTTAATCTTGAAAAGAAAGCGACAAGGATAACAGGAATGAATGTCGAAAATAATATAGGTTTAAGAGGGTATCAGTTCGGCTTTAATCTAATGTAGAAGTTCAATTTAAATTATTATTTAACTGTCAGTTCAATATTTAAATACACAATAATCATTTAATGTATCGTGCAAAGTTTGCCATTCTGCAAATTATAAGGCTCTATTCGCACAATACCGACCGGATTTCGCAATAACGTACGGAATTTTTAGAACTTACGGACTTACGCATTGTATCGCTATCTGGAGCGAGGTCTTGAGAGTGAATTTCCGGTTACAAAGCACAAAGAGGTCTTCCAAAGAGGGCCCGAGCAGCTCCAAAACCATGCAGTTGTACTGATTGCACGTCCCGAAGTAGTAGACCTGCGGCACCCCCTCTGTACCGTACAAAACACCGCCAATTTACTAGATCATAACATTCTTATAAACTAACTCGAGTTAATAACACTCTTGTGCGAACCACCACTCAAGGAGTTTACTCTAACTTAAGAAGCTTAAAAATAATGTCGTTTTCAAGCTACATCAAATAAAATCAGTGTCCAATTCCGGAAAACAACTGCAATAAGCCTCTTTCAAAATTATCTTATCATCCTTTTAAAGAAATGATTGTTGATCTGACTGTCCAGAAGAAAAATGCATCTGGTGTAGAATAGAAACATAATAGTATCAGTTTTGTTCTGCTGCCACAACCAGCAGCTATTCGTTTAACATTTTGTTGAATACTTTTTACACAAAAGTTAAACAAATGCACACTCTCATATAAAGCCAAATAAATTCAAATAGATTATGAATATTAAATAAGTAGGAAAAGAAAGACACTCCCATAGATTATCTTATTTTTTTATATCTATCTTTAAATAGAAATTCAATCAAATCTAACATTCACATAGGTTTTAAAACATGCTGGGTGTCAAACAACTATTTCAATAACTAATTTTATTTTTTGCCTAGATTTTCCTGTGATTTTTCACTAATTTAAAATTACTCTACAATGAAAAAAAATCTTGTCTGATGAACATCTGCACCGTAATAACCACACTGGTTTTCATTAATACTGTTAACATTCATGCTATTGCTTGAGCAACTCATATGGTTTAATTTAGTGGTACAATTTGTCTTTTTTTTTTCTTTGTAAAATCTTCTTCAATTTTTTTTTTTTTTTTTTTTTTTATTTGAAGAAGAAAAAGAATTTATCTGAAACAGATTCAAATTGATTAATGGCAATGGCCCTCCCTAAACCGCAAAGGTTAATTAGCTTCCTTAAAAGAACAAGAGAGGATTTTCTGACCCGCAATTTATAACAGTAATTTTTAGCTGAGAGAGCCTGGACAATTAGGAACTGTTGATTCCAGTTTTTAGTATTTTCAAATTATTCCAATATTTCCATTAGTTTTGTATAGCACAAATGAATATTCCAAATGAAATTGTATTTTTATGGTGTCAATAATTTAAGATAAAATTTAAGGTTATGATTAATGCTAAAGGATTATCCACTCGGGCATACACAAACAAACTCTAAAAATACTTCTTTCACAACTATTTTAATTTAACTTTAAACTAATTATCATTAATACTAATAAACCCTAATACTTATAAATAGGAGAATTGGTGATTGCACAAATAAGTGCTATCAACCAAGTTCGTTTTGTGTTTACTGAGCAAAACAAACAAAAACATTCTCAGAAATACATTTCAAGAGATAAAAGCAACAAAACGGGCAGAAATTTTGTCTGAAAATTTAGACCTTTGATGAAACACTAACATTTCAATTAAACGGCACAAATTAGTTCACGTTTATGTTTTTTGAATTGGACTAAATTAAAACGCTGATATAGGAAGCCATACACTTAAGACCTGAAATTATGCAATCCGCGGTTTACACTTGAGATGCTTCACTCAAAAAGGAAAAAAGGGATTCTTTGTCCACTTTAGGAAGACAACTTTTAAAATTGTACGGCTTCAATCAGACATCCCACCCCAATGCTCAAATTTATAACAGTTATTGCAGTAAAAAAAGTTTGAATTAATTGCCAGAAACAAGTCAAATAAAGGCTATACAATTTTTGGATGACAAAAATGTTTTTATATAAATGGTTTTAACACTTTCTTAAACCAATCTAACCAATTTTTTTAGAGATGTAAACATATAGAAATTTTGTTTTTACAAATCCCCTTCCTAGAAAAGATCTTTTAAAATATAATTCCTTTATATTTGAAAAATGTATTTTTTTAATTATACTGGCCACTTCCATTATCAACTCTCTCGAAATGTATTTTACGCTTTACAATTTTTTAACTTTTTTTTTTACTTTCGACTTTTTGGGTTTTGAATGTTTGAAAGTGCAGAGTCCCCCGGCGTGTTTTGACAGACTTGGTGGAGCGAACGACTTCAAAATGAAAAAAAAATTTATATACTCAAACAGTTATTGTAATAATGAAAGATAAATATATTAACGGTGGTAACTGCTATGGCCTTATACTTAAATTCTAAATTCTAAGTTAAACTTAAACAATAGTAGTTTTAAAAATAACTTCTATTCTTTACCACTAGGTAAATGTAAAAGCTTTAAAATTTAAGGCAATTTCATGGGTTGACTTACCATGGGATCCCAGGAGTTTGTAGAACCTATATTCTAAATGTAATTGGGGCGCTTTCGATTTCATCGGTTCCTGAAAAATGAAACAATGCATATCAATCATGATAACGAGTAATTAAAAAAATAAATAATAATGATAAAACAGCACACAAGAGAATTTTAAAACAACCTATGTCATTACAATTTTCTGTGGATGTCAGCAGTCTGGTTATTTTAAATAATGTATGCGCACTGCATAAATATTCAAAAGGAATAAACAACAGGGCATTTTCAAAGAAAACCATTATTAATTTTATATTAATAACTGAGAAGTCAAAAAAGCTGACATGTTCTATTATTTTATTTTATGAGTAACTATAAGATTTATAACATAAACCACAATAATTATAAAACGGTATAATTAATTCTGTGACACTACTGATATATTAAAATGTATATTTAAAAAATCCAATTGATGAATAGAAATAAATTAATAATCAAGAGTAACTTATGTTTGTTCGATATATAATCTGCAAGTCGTCAGACATTCATACATTGTATTGGGTTGTCCGGAAAATAATGCAGGATTTTAAGTTTTCATTAAAAAAAATCTATATAAAATATTCTGTTTACGTNAAATTATTTTGATTAAAGAACATTGCTTTAAAGTAACTAGTTTCTTTTTTTTTGTTTAATACCAAAATCCTGCATTATTTTCCGGACAACCCAATACATAACGATGTTTTCTTATATTTCGACCTCAACAGTTTAACTTATGATTTTTCCTTCTTGAAGGTGGAATAATAGGTTTTTTTTGTCCACTTTTAACACGTTATTAAGATTATTAGGAAAAACATTATTATCCTATTATCCCACCTTAAAGAAGGAAAAATCATAAATTGTACATAAAGTACTACTGCATACCTACTGAGAGACAAAAAAGTGGCCACCCTCATGTTTTAGTAAATACTTGTAATTATATTTTGTTTTTTACTGGATATTTTAAAAAGAAAAATATAAGATATACCTAAATAAGAAAATTAAACTGAGTAAAACAAGTTTACCAAAATGTTGCTATGTAAACAATGAAGAAAAATTCAATTCAGTATGGAGTGTTTCCTCCTCTTGCGTTGACCACTGCTTGGATTCAACATGGCATTAATTTTTTGAGGTTTTGAATGTAGTGCTGTAGAATATTTTCACTCTCCTTCAACAGCGCCGTTCTTAATCCCTTAAAATTCTCTGGCTTCACTGGGCGACTTTTACCCTCATTGACAACTGAGGAGTAAAAGGAGTTCAATAGGGTTTAAAACAGGAATACATGCTGGCCACTCCAAACATTGAATTGAAGCCCATTCCAACAGTCATCAACGATCCTAGCTGTGTGGGGCCTTGCATGGTCAAGCATAAAAATACAACCATTGCCAGTGGCAGATAAGGAACAACTTCTGATAACACATCTTCAATGTATTGTGCAGCAGTTACAGAACCCTCGATGAAGATCAAGTTTGTGCGACTATCCATGGAAATGCTTGCCCAAACCATAAGAATGGTCTTAGGTAGACCATCCACTGGAGCCGTTTTTGGCCGAACTTGCTTGGCCGTTGCACGGCCGAATAGGGCCGGATGATCCAAAAGCGAAGAAACGAAAAAGCACGCGTCCATTAGAACCAATTCGTTCGGTCGTGTTGGGCCGTCTACGGCTGAGCACTTTCCGATCCAAATAAAGTTGAATTTTCCAGTCCTATTCGGCCGAATGGTTATTTCGACTTCAACTGCCAATCACGTGACATCAAACGCTCACCATTATTTAACGCCGTTCTTTGCTTTTTGCTTACCTTTTCATTTCGATGGATTGTGAAAAATTGATAAGTGCGGTTGAGGAGCAGGTTCTTGGGACATGCGTGATCCACTCTATCATCAGAGAGATGTCCAGCGTAAGCTGTGGTCAAGATAGCTTTAGAAATGGAACTTCCAATATTTTTGTTTATTTCTTTCATTCCATTTGTATGTAAACTAAGAATTTTCGAGCAGCAACAAATCTTCTACATCCATTTTGACTGTGTCGTGAACTGACAAAAATCGGCTACAGTGGACAACGGCGGTCGGCTATATTGCCGGTCGTCCGTTTGGTCAAATAGTTCGGCTGTTGAACAGCCATCGTAGTTCGGTTCCAATGGACGAGCAGCCTTATGGTTCGCCTCCAAAGCTTCTCCGGAATGAAAATGTTGCAGGGATATTGTCATTCTCCTGTTCTTCTCCAAACTATCTCTCGGCCGTCAAAAGACCTCAAATAAAACCTTTGGTCTAATCATGCTTAGAGCAATTAATGTGATTTCTTGTGAAACTTAACCAAGCTGATCTTGTGCCTCATCTGATTTTCTCGATCAGTAGCAGGCCTTCTCACACATAACCCAGAGCTTCTGAAAGTTGCTTTATGTGGAATATTTTCACTCTCCTTCAACAACACCGTTCTTAATCCCTTAAAATTCTCTGGCTTCACTGGGCGACTTTTACCCTCTTTGACAACTGGTCCCAGGAGTTCGATAGGGTTTAAATCAGGACTTTCTTGGTTCATTTTATCTGTGCTTTATTTACCTCTAATCCTTTAAAACGGACCAAATATTGTTGTATGATAAATCAATGGATATGCCTTACAGGCTATAAACTGATATTAGAATTTCTAGCGGTAGAATGACAATTACGGAGTACATTCAAAGCAATTAAAGGATCATCTCTGAGATGTGACACGATGACTTGATCCATGCCTTCTTAAGTAAACCTCCAGTATGTTGGTGGCAATGGAAGACGCTTCAGACAAATGTTCTGGGAATGTTAAGCACCCTGGCCACAGACATTTGGCTTCTTCCATCTTCCAACAATGCTATTATTCTAGCTGTAGTTGTATCACTTAAAACCATCATTCGAGCAAATATGAAACTTAAAAGTGGTACAACTTAAAAGAATCTAACCACCGGAACGTTAAAAAGAAGCTTTACAGAAAAACCAACACAAAAGAGATTAATTATTCAATAGAAATCAAATCAAATCTGATTTATTTACAAAATTCAATTGTAAACACAAATGAGAGATTTCATCTGCCTTTTATTTACCTCTAATCCTTTAAAACGGACCAAATATTGTTGTACGATAAATCAATGGATAATTGCCTAAGATATAATAAAATATTAAAGGTGGCCACTTTTTTCCCCTCTCAGTGAATTATAATAAGTCACAATGTTGACCAAAAGATTTAATCTATCTTAATTATATAATCCTTCACATAATGTAACATAATGTAATTGCAAAATAAACAGAAGCCAATAATTGTTCAACATCTAATAGCAAATGTATAATATAAAATATACTTTTTAACAATCATATTTATTATTTTTTTAAAGTAATTTGCCTCCCTTAAATAATCGTAATCGCGTAATCGTTTATTGTAGGCTGAAGCAAGAGGCTTCTTTAAAAAATGATAATTGTATTATACATTTGAGAGTGCAAGTTTATTGTTAAGACACATTATTGGGGGAAATGATGAAGGATAGCTTGCAATATCGATGTATTAAGTGACTTGGGGCTTGTTGGAAAAGTGTCGTTTCCCCTACCAAGGTATGTTCTAAGACCTTCTAATGGAAAGGTCAAATTGAAAAGGATTTCACCATTAGACACACCCTTCTGGTCACTTTTTGAATTTGGGTACTTTTTAAAATTTTTGTCTAGATTTATAAATGTATCGATTCATCAGCACTTGTTTAAATTACAGACTAAAGTGACATTTAAACTATAAGCCTTACATCCACCCATAAACCTTAAAAATACTTGTGTTTATTTTACTAAAATAAAGCTACGTAACACAAACATTTTTGACTAAAAAAAATTAACAATTAGAAACATCCTGGCAACAATATCTAAATTTGCATCTATAGCTTTTATTCTATATGAGATAAAATTTAGGTGAAGGTGTATTTCAACAATTTTACATATTTGGCTAATTTGCATCTATAGCTTTTATTCTATACGAGATAAAATTTAGGTGAAGGTGTATTTCAACAATTTTACATATTTGGCTTTTTTACTAATATTTTGTAAATGTTATAAAATGTATCAGAAAAGTCTAGTAATTTCATATTTTTTTAATTTGGTAAAAATTCAGCTGAGTTGTGTTTCTTTAAATACATGCTCCTTTTTTGGCCGATGATTCTCCATTTTCATTACACATATATTACACCAGTTTATCTTTTTTTTTTTCCCCTGTGGAAACGCTTATTTTTCCCACTATGTATGTCTGTCTCCCTGAACATTCTTCTTCACGAGCTAGTTTTAATAGAATCATTGTCAAATCTAGAAAGGCCTTAATTCATTTTTAGATCTCATAGTATTTTGGTTTAAATTTAATTGTTATTAATTCCACAGGTTCATATGAACCTTGATTATCTTTTTCTTTTTTCCAGCTTAAATACATTTAGCTTGCGAAAGTTGATTGGAGAAGGGCTTCAACTACGGTGGGGAAAAAATAAATGCTTCCACAGCAAAAACTTAGTGATTAGAATCACTGGCTGAAAAAGGAGCTTTGTCTTTTAAAGAAACACTCAGATAAATATTTACCAAATAAAATAAAAAAGTTTACGAAATTATTAGATGTTTTTGCTACATTTTAACACATCAATGGTGGGAAAAAATGCTTCCATAGCAAAAAAAAAATGGTGTAAATGTAAAATCACTGACCAAAAAAGGAGGCTATCTTTTAAAGAAATACTCAGATGAATATTTTTCCATATAAAAAAAAACCTACAAAATTAATATGTTTTTGATGCATCTACAATGGAAAAAATAGAAAGTGCTTCCACATCAAAAAAATGGTGTAAATGTAGAATAACACTGGACGAAAAAGTATGGTCTTTTAAAAAAACACAGATGAATATTAGCCAAATTTAAAAAAAATTATGAAATTAATAGATGTTTTTGATACATCCACAGTGAAAAAAATAATAAGTGCTTCCACAGCAAAAAGGTGGTGTAAATGTAGATTAACACTGGTCAAAAAAGTAAAAAGTATTGTATTTTAAAGAAATAATAACCCCTTGACTTGAGTAATACATCTACAGTAAAAAAAAAAGGAAATACAAATTTTTAAAAAAAATTAAATAAGCACTTCCACAGCAAAAAAGTGGTGTAATTGTAGAATCACTGAGCAAAAAAGTAGCGTTGTGTTTTAAAGAAATACTCAGATGAATATTTGCCAAATTAAAAATTTAAAAAAATACAAAATTAATAGCTGTTTTTGATACATCCATAGTGAGAAAAAAAGAAGCACTTCCACAGCAAAGAAGTGGTACAATTGTAGAATTACTGACCAAAAAAGTGGCGTTATATTTTAAAGAAATACTCAAATGAACATTTGCCAAATTTAAAGAAATGTTTATGAAATTTATAGATCTTTCGGTAAATGCTTAGATTGACACCCATTATGGGAAAAATAAGTGCTTCAACAGCAAAACAAAGTGAATAAACTGGTGTAAATATGAAATCATTGGCCCAAGAAGAAGCGTGTCTTTAAAGGCATAACTCAGCTAATTTTTTGTGAAATGAATGTTTTACAAAATTACTAGAAGTGTCGTACACACTTCAAAACTTAGAAATGAACATAATTTGAATTTGAATATAACTCAGCTAATTTTTTGTTGAATTAATGTTTTACAAAATCATTAGAAGTTTCATACACACTTCAAAACATTGAAATGAAATGCTTGATACGGTTGTAAGGAATATCTGTGTTTATTAGACAGGGCTACTCCTGGTTTGTCCATTGGAATTTCCTGGCAAGGGATCTGGGATGTAATTTTTCATTTGAAACTGGAAACGAGGAAGGCTGGCCTGAGCTTTCAAAGAAACATATCAAAAAATTTAAAATCAGCCACAGAGAAAAATGCTTAATTAGAGCTCTGTCATCTAGATATTATGCTCTGTATAAAACACTGGAACTATCCTTTGCTCCAGATAACCAAGCATTGTTTCGGCATCGAATATCATCATTTCATCTCAGGGGGAAGAAGGAAAAATCTCCAAAGTTTGCCCTGTAGTATCAGTAATGTGCTACAATTTTTTCAGGAAACCAAACAATTTCATACCAATTTCTACCAAAAAAAAAAGAAAAATACTGTAAAGCTATATATTTGGAGGAGATACTTTCTAGTTTCTGATTCAATGCTACAAACCAATTTGTATTCAGTATTTTTTCAGTATAAAAAAACCTGATAATAAATTTATTGTGATTAATATATAAAATTCAAATAAATGATATTGTTCTCGTTTTAAAATTGAAAACTTTATATATATAGTATTGTTTATTATTTTTCCCCCAAAATCAACTTCTGGCTGGGGGTAACCATTTCCAGGCTTTACATTGCACAAAAAATCAGGTTAACTACAAAAGCCAATACATAATGCCAATAAGTAATATGTTGATACGTCTATGAATTACATCAACTTGCTCAACAATTTCTTCTATTAATCTCTGCACAATAAGTTTTAAAAAATATTTTGTTAAATGTGTGATGATTAGTGACTGTTAATCAATAATTACTCAGAAATCGTGAGATGCGGTCCGAATTTGTTAAATTTTTATTACAATTCTAAAATGTGACTTTTAATGAAGATTTATTTTAGAAAGTTTAATATTTTGTTGGGCCCTACTCTGGGCAGGTATTGAAAATAGCCATTGTAAAGTTATAATCATGTGCAATTAATTAAGGTTTTAAGTTGAGATAAAAAAGTCAGTGTCACGAGCGGGATTCGAACCCACGACCTTCGGCTTGATACGCAGCTACTCTACCACTTGAGCTATCATGACTTCAATCTACTCGGGCATACTTCCCATCTCAACCTCGAATTTTCCCTCCTTTTTGCCATTTTTCAAATGTCATGCGATCGATTTGATTCTTGGCGACAAATGAAATGGCCACGGAGAGCTTTACTGAAGTATACTTCATTTTAATCCATTAAATTCACTATTTTTCGTGGTCCACTTGACCAATTAATACAAGCTAATTAATTAAGGTTTTAAGTTGAGATAAAAGTCAGTGTCACGAGCGGGATACGAAAAATGGCAAAAAGGAGGGAAAATTTGAAGGTGGGGTTGAGATGGGAAGTTAGTGCCCGAGTGGATCGAAGTCACGATAGCTCAAGTGGTAGAGTAGCGGCACATCAAGCTGAAGGTCGTGGGTTCGAATCCTGCTCATGACACTGACTTTTTTATCTCAACTTAAAACCTTAATTAATTGAATTGTATTAATTGGTCAAGCGGACCACAAAAAATAGTGGAGTTATATTCATGATAACAACATATACACTTTACAGAGCATAATGTATTTCTAAATAAATAAGCGTGCCTTTATTCAATGGTACGAAAAGTAATAATTTTAGAAAAATAAATTTTATATAAATGTAAGTTTTTTTTAAAATAAAGTTTACACTTTTCTGTAAGTTCCCCTTCCTCGAATCATAGGGAAAGGAAGTAGGTTATTGCTCAGAAGGGACAATATTCCAAAGGATGAAGACCTGTTCATCAAAAGGGTCCTTGAAAAAGGAACTTTAGGCATCTTCCCGTTTCGAAAAACGTTTGTATGTAAATCAAAATGGCGCGGCGGCGATAAGCATCTTGTTAAAATTACTATTTTACTATTCAACACAGCAAGTCATCGTTGAATGTCAAAAACTGAGATATGTGTTTCAATTGAAAAAATCAACCCGGTGTTTCGTTAAAAGAAATTCATTTTTCGGTAGTTAAATTTATCGATAATACCGAGGTTCTACATTTACACCAGTTTTTTTCCCGAGGAATTTATTTCGTCCAAAATGGACGTTGCCCTGCGCTAGCCCCTATTCAAATCCTTGCTTGACACAACTTTCATGTGCCAAATGTATACTTAAAATGTAAACTGGTAAAGGAAAAGGGATAAACATGGTTCATACGAACCTGAAACGTTAGTGCCAATTAAAATTCACAAAAAGGACAAGAAGATTTACTTATTTTGCAAGTAGAGTCTTTTGTTTTTATGACAGTTAGTGAATCAACTTGTGTAACATCTTATTTTATTATAGCCCTCTTAATTTTAACAAAATGACAAAAAAAAACTAAAAAAAATGGTATGCCAATCCTACATTGAATGGCTCCACATAATTTAATCAGACAAAGAGCTTGACTTTAAGAAGTTGTCTTTTCATTAATATACATTCGACTATTAACGATCAATAAGTAGAACTGATTTCACGAGTTCGAGCTTTTTTAGTTAAATGTAAAAGGAAACGGCGTTTGTCGTAAATTAAAGGGTTGGTAAAGAAATTAAACAATACATACCATTTTAATGGCTACATGCTCGTTGTTATACAGATTTTTTCCTGGAAAAAAAGAACAACATATTAGATTTTCAATAATAAAAGGCTAATATACAATTTAAAAATTTTACATTGAACTGATTAGAGAAAATATATATAAAGTATATTCATTTGTGCAAAAGGAAAATAATTAAAATTGTTTCTTTGTGTTTCGTAATTGTTAAAATAATAAGATCGAGAAAACGTTCTTGGGGACTAAAACCGATAATGGCGCACTGGGTATGTACAACAGTAATAAGACCCAAATTATTGGACCAAAGCACAGCAAAAACAAGCTACCCAAACATGAGAATCATAGAAAGACTGGCAAACCTACCTATCACTGGGACAATGAAAACAACCCCCAAAATTTTAGAAACACTGCTAAACCAACCTCCGTTGGAAATAGTACACAAAGAGAAGCGAGGAAAAGCGAGGAAAAGCTCATCTATGCTTCAGAAACAAACTGGATGGGAGAACTACACTTAGGGCACAAAACAATAATTAATAAAATCAGTCATCCATTCTTAGAAATGAGGCCTGAGTACATGATCCCGGAAGCAATCTTTACATCCTATTACGTCTAACAGATGACTGTATGATCCCGAAAACATTCTTTATACTTTAAAGTCTCAATGGACTATAAAGTAGAAGAAGAACACAGGAGAGCATCAGATACAATGATGTGGTATATAGATGGCTTCGAAACAAACGAAGGAACCGGACCGGGCATTTTCTGTACAAGCCGATATGAGCAATCAACACATTAGGGAAGTACACTTCTGTCTTTTAAGCAGAAATACATGCCATCAACGCTTGTGCCCTAGAAAATCTTAGAAAGTATCAGCTTACACTGGCAAAAATACCCTCATAATCTGATAGCCAAGCAGCCATTAAAGCATTAGCAGTAAAAAAATCACGTTAAAATTAGTCAGTGAATGCATCCAAAATTTCCAAAACGTGGGGAGAAACCTTATGAAATGTTGGGTGTCAGGACACAGAGGAATTTTGGGTAACGAGAAAGCCGAGAATGATCTGCAAGACCATACATAGGCCCGAACCTATACTTGGGATAACAAAAATGAATATAAAATCCTCCATCGCAGAATGGATCCAAATAAAACAAAAGAAGTGCATAACCTCCAGCGGCGAAAAACACAGTAAACCTAAAATGAAAAACCCTCATCATGACTGGCAAACTCACCGCTGCAATTGGAGAGGGAGTAATAGGACTACTAACCGGTCACTCACATCTGAGAAAACATCTACGCAACATGGGCATATACAACGATAATCCTATCTGCAGAGTATGTAGTGAGAAAGAGGAAACAGTCACCCATATCATCTTCGAACGCAAGCAACAGCACAATGGAGATTTAACCTAACATACAAAAAAATCTAAAGAATGATATTGTAGCAGCGACAATAAATGATCTGATACTTCTAAGAAGGATTGAGTCTATTGCCCTGAACTAGGGAACTAGGAAGGTACAATAAGCCAGAAGGCTGCAGGCCTGGGGAGCACAAACCCCACTTCCTAGTATCCTCATTACCATACCATATCAACAAAGACAAAGGAGAGAAGTATAGAAGGTAACGAAAAAGCAGACATACTGGCAAGAGGAGGTTCTGCAAGACCATATATAGGCTCTGAATCTATTCTTGGAATAACAAAAGCAAACAGAATGGATCCAAAAAAATAAAAAAGGAGAAGTGGATAAATTCTAGAGATGGTAGACCCAGTAAGCTTATCATAACAATCCTCACCAACACTGGGAAACTCATTGCTACAGTTAAAGAGGGCGCCGGTCACTGTCATCTGGGAAAACATCTGCACAACATGGACATATTCAATGACCTCATTTGTAGATTATGCAATGATGAGAAACAGCCACTTATATCATCTTCGAATGCGAAGCAACCGCTCAATGGAGACATAACCTGGGATACAAAGAAAACCCATGGAAAGGAATTACCGCAACGACAGTCAATGGCCTAGTTACTTCGAAGAATTGCACTGAACGAAAGAATTGGGGAAATTACATTGCATGGGGAACAAAATTCCAATTTCCTAGTATCAATCATCATCATCATGAACGAAAAGTTGAATTTTAATGCGTAAAAGAAAAATCGAAACGAATGAGAAAAAAATAGACTAAGACTAAAACATCATTCCCTGGAACATTTTGCGTATTTTTTCCGCATGTGTTGATTCAACAGAAATTGGCCGCTTTCCAGTATTTAAAGGGATCTTTTCACGCCATAAATAATTTCGAATCCGTGTGCTCTTGATTGCCGAGTGCAGTGAGAAAAGTGACTGCCACACACCGCCGACTGCGGCATATTGATATTTACGATTTTCCCCATTTTGGACCGCACCGTATTAGGTAAAAGGGTTTTAGCAGGAAGACGAGAAATCTAAATATTTGTGCAACACCCTTTTATTGTCCACGGGGCTTTGTCACAAATAATCACAAAGATCTTTTTGTGACAAGAAAGTATTGTTATTAAACAGTTAGAAAAAATAAATGAACGAGTCAATCAATTGATGATTATGAAGATTATGTTTTATTTGGCTTTGGAAGTAAGAGAATTATAAGAAACACTTTTCAAGCCACAAAAGCATACATTCGTATCCAAGTCTGTAGATCACAATTTTATGAATACATAGGAGGGATAAGTAGTCAAGGATGGTCGGAAATGACGAAACTATACTTTCAAAGTTTAAAAAAATAAATGAAAATATTTTAAGTTTTATATGGTAAACTACTCAAAAATAAATAGAGATACTGCCAATTTTCTAGTATTTACTTTCCATAGCATTTTTGTATTATTTTTATTAGAAACTGAATTAAAATTTATTAGAAACTATTGTTTTTACTGAAGGAAAAGTTAATTAACGGATTATGAAAAATAAAATACAAATTTTTAATTACATAATTTTGTTTGTTGGACACAATAAATTTTTAAACAATTAATACTGTGAATAATATCCTATGTTGGGGCGTCGGTGGCCGCAAGGTTTAGTCTTTGACACGGCGCTCTTCACTGTAAGGTAAAGGTCCCGGGTTCGAATCCAGCGGCCCTGCATTCGAATCCGACATACTTACATATGAGCTTTTTTTCAAAAACACCGGTACCCTGAGGGTTTATATGACCTCTGATGTTGCGAACCCTCGTTAAAAAAAAATATCCTATGTTAGCTAAAACCTTTGCTCACTTGTTAGTTACGCTTACTGTTAATAAGGTAGTCACTAGTTTCATAAAGAATTTCACTCCATAGATGTTGCAACGCTGCTTGTTGCAGGTCAACTGAGTGCGGATGATGATCGAAAAGCCTTCTCTGCAAATGGGAAATTCACCGGTTTTCTAAACATTGATAAACAACTCTGTCTATGAGGTCTGGCATTGTCATCCAGAAGATCATCGAGATGCTAGGTTTGAGGGATGTATTCCCGGACTAATGGACTTCGATGTGGTTGCCTTTGACTATATGGAGTTCAGTTCGTCCTCCAGTGTAAATCTCAGCCCAGATCATTACACCGGCTGCTCCAAACTGCACTGAACGGAGTACGAACTGGGGCATTGTATATCCCTTGTTCTCACTAGACTCTTCGGCGCCTGCTATTGCTATACACAGGAACGCGACTGATCAGTGAACATACCAACATTCCAATTGATGCTCTTTTCTAGGCGCTCGTTGCACCATACCATATTCTCCTGAGTTGATGGTGACGAGCTTTTGCTGCTGGTCATCTCGAAGGGGCATACCATGTATGTCCGACGATGACAATAGTTCTGTCCTCCCTTAGCGTAATACGCTGAGATCAGCTACCAGGCGTCCTATAAGCACTTCCTGTCTGTCGTAATCGAGCTAAAGCCCGGGAGACCACGCTCTGAGAAACGCCAACTATCTCTGCGATATCCACTTGCCTGCCGGTGACCTCGATGACTCATTCTCACAATAAAATTGCGAACCACTGGTTCAAGATGATGTCTTTCCATGGTTAAAGAGAATACAAATAAATGGATTAAAACGGAGAAAAGACGAGAAAAGGTGTTTGTTTGGAAAATGAATAATGTTTATGTTTACTATTCTTAAGTAAATCCATGCTTCATAATGAGGTTTTGTGATTGTTTTTGATTTGTATTTTCTATTGTGTTTTATCCAACTAACAAATATCGGTTAATTTAAAAAAAATTAACATAATAACAATAAATTACAAATATCCGTATTCAGGTTTGAGCAGTTTAGTTTACTGTTATAAGTATCATTACATGTATTTACATTTATGTATGTATGTTGTGTTGTGGAGTGAGCGTGAACATTTGCCAAAAGGATAAAATCTATGACCTTATTTTATATATACACCATTATTTAAAATTAATGAGATACATAAAAAATGTTGCTTATAAGTTATGCAGTTAACCGATAAAAAATCCTATTCAGCGCATAATGTAATTATCTTCAATTTTCATCGTAACAAGAAATAATTGCTTAATTAAAGGGCTAAAGAAAAGAATCTGTATTCGGAGGCCTACTCCAGCCGCAGTTTTTACCTCTTAAATCTCACAAATCACAGCTTACATGCCCGAACGTCAGTTGAACCTGGAGCTGTAAACGATATTTCATAAATAATTGGCCTTGCTTGAGGAATTATGAAAACCAAGGTATTTGTAAGTTGAGTTTGGTTCAATTAAATCTGCGTGCGTTGGACTCCAATTAGCCGGACAATAAAATAAAAATTCGATCAAACCTCAGAGGTGTTGGTGCGAAATTCTCACTGAATCGGCCTTTCTGCGGATGAGAGTCGTCTGTTTTATGGGTTCAACGCTCTCACTTCACATCTCATCCATTCAACACCGTAACGTTGCGACAAAGCCTTTCGTCAATTCTGTCCGGGCATTAATGTGAATCTCGCGGTCTGTTGATTTACAATCGACCAGGTTCAAGAAAATTTCCCGAATTTCTTACCCAGAGAAGGCAACTTCGACCAGGACCTATACCGTCGAGATTGCCCAAT